AAAGAGAATGTTTTCACTAGAGGCACCATGATTATGGAATCCCTTTCCTCTCAAATGTGGTTGGCACTGAGTTTTATACATATTTACACAGAAAAAATCATGTGCGTTTTTGCATTTCTGCACCAAAAATGTGTTTTCTGCACAGAAAAACCAGGTGCATTTCTATACAGAAAACATTTTTTGCATGGAAGAAACTACATCTATTTCTGCACAGAAAGTGTTTTGCTCCAGAGAAAATATATTTTCTGCACAGATAAACCATGTGTACTTCTGCACAGAAAATATTTTTGGTACAGAAAATTTGTTTCAGATGAGGGGAAAAATGTGTATTTTTGGCACAGACATTCCTGATTCCTAAAGTGTAAAACAATGAGAACAATGATGATGAAAATGTCTCCCTAGTATTGTGGTTGTGATCAATGGTGTAGTGGTAGCTTTTTCATACCATTGTTTTGTTGTTGTTGTTGTTGTGTACCTTCAAATACTTTTTAATTTATGGCAACCCTAAGGTGAACCTATCATAGGGTTTTCTTGTTAAGATTTATTCAGAGGAGGTTTGCCTTCCCCATAGGCTGAGAGCATGTAACTTGCCTAAGGTCACCCAGTGGGTTTTATGGCTGAGCTGGGAATCGAACCCTGGTGTCCAGAGTAGAAATCTCTCAAACCACTATCAAGCCACCTCAAAATACTTGTGTCAGAACAGGGATAGATATATTTGTTTTGTTTTGTCTTTACCTGTCCAACTACAAGAGATAATTTTAGATTAACATAGAGACTTTTTTTTTTTTGGTTCCAAGCTTTCATTCTCTCATGACAAACCTTGTACAGGGAGGTATAGATCAATAATGGGTAGTGTGACCTGAAAGTGGGCAGTGACAGAGTAACCCACATAGTCTCTCTTTCCCAATATATATTCATCTATCACTGAAAAATAGACACCCCCATAGGGACATCTATAAGCAATCTGATCAGTTATGAAAGTATGGATGATAAGCATGTAGTTTTGTATTAGTAACAAAAACTCCCCTCCCCAACAAATCTTGCCAAAAAAAATCCCAGTGATAGGCCTTAGGGTTGTCATAAGTTGGAACCTACTTGAAGGTACACAATAACAAGGAAAAGTACCTGGCATTGTGCAGGGCAATTAATTTGCTTATGTTTTGGATGATTTGAATGAAATGTGTTTGGCTGCATCCACACTGCAGGAATAATCCAATTTGACACCACTTTAACTGCCATGCCTCATTGTTATAGACTTATGCAATTTGTAGTTTGTTTTGGCACCAGAGCTCTCTGACAGAGAAGGCTAAATGTCTCACAAAACTACCCAGGATTCCATATCCTTGAGCCATGGGAATTAGATTGGTGTCACACTAAATTATTTCTGCAGTATGGACACAGCCTCAGTTTCATTGTACCCACAATCCTTAAAATTCCAGGTTCCATGCAAAATGAAAAGCCTAAAGTTGCCAATTTGTATTGATGTTGCATCAACATGTTCAGGAAGTGAATCTTAGTGGAAACAGCAAAGATTCCTAAATGTATATACTAGAGAAAAGAAAAATTATGGCTTGTGGTCTCTGTTTTGGTCCCATTGGGTCACACAACAAGTGTGGTGTCTCTGTGATCAAGCATGGGAATGGGTGTAGCATAACACAGAGATAAAACTTTAATTATAGTGCAGCTTTAGCAACTTCTTAAACAGCAATCTTCTTCCTCTCCTATGCAATCTTCCTAAGATTTAAAGACAAACGCAGAGGCCACATTTAAAAAATAATAATAAAATAAAAACTAAAACAAAACAACATGCAAACATCATTGTCCTGGTATAATAAACCTTTGAAAGCGTAATTTGCAATTTTGGGAGACAAAATCTGGAGAGGTTTTAATCAAGGGAGGTTCAGCTGAGACAAATCTTGCATTTGTCCAAAGCCAATATTCCCCTTTTCTCCTTTCTCTCTTTTTTTTTTTGTGTTTTGTTTTGTAAAGCATTAAGTCCCTCCCTTAATTAAGCCTACTGGGGTTTAATTGTGTTGATCTCATTTTAAACCAAGCTCAGCACAATTAGGCACAATGAGAAGATGGGGAGATAATCAGTTCAGACAGGGGAGGGAGTGGTGGAAACACACTATCAACCAACCCCTCCTTGAATCCATTTCTGAACCTAAATTATTTCATTCGATATGGACCCCAAATTACTGTTTTGGTCTCCATCTCTTTCTTTTTTCTTTTCCTCTTTATGAATCAGGTTGTAAGGAGAAAAAGAGAGATAGAAGGAAAAAAGAAGGTGGTGGTGGTGGGGGAATTGATTATTTCCAGCTCGTCATACATCTCATTTGTAGAGGGTCAGGCCTTTCCCATTCACAATTACCACTAGTTAATCTTATCGGAGGGAAAAAATTCAATTACATTTATCAAGGTTATTCCATACACTCTGGTTATTGCCTCAGAAAATGCAGTTTTTGGTGTTAAGAGCATTGGCATTGTTCTTCCGTGTGGGTGTGGGTCTGTGTGTGTTTTGGGAGGGTAAGTAGGTGGGTGAGCTGTCACTCCATTGTGAAAAACACCTACACACACACACACACACACGACAATGCTCAAATAAAATAAATAATTAACCCCCCTCCCCTCCAAAGCTGCTGTTCCTAATATACAGTTGTAATAAAGTAATATTTGACAGCTTTGTAAAAAGGATCATTAATACATAGATTATGGTAGTTTTTTGGGGAGGCTCATAACTGTTAATAGACTTCAATTCTCAGCCTACACTGACATTTCACACACACACAAAAAAAATCTAGTTTCAAATTTGATAACAGATTACTAGTCAGGCTGGAAGCCAGCCACCTGATTAAGGCAATTTAAATGCTTGCAAAGTGGCGAGATTAAAATCAAATAAGTGCCGATTTTTTCCATTCCCTCCCCCTGCTTCACTTATCGTTCCCCGGATTCATTCCTTAACTACCAGGTGGCAAAGGAGTCTGGGTAATTTTCTTCAGCACCAATTACCCCAGGACGGTTTTTAGGGTGAAGCGGAATAATTACTGCACTATCAATCCAAAATGGGCTGCTTAATGTGTTTAAGAGAGATTTTGAGCCTTCGCAGGGAGGTTGCCGCCTCGAGCTTGCTGAGCTTCCCGTGCCAAAGCCAGCCAAACTGGCCTCCTCATGTAGTGAACTGTTCAGCAAGAAGGCCACAAACACCCAAGGTGAACAAAAACAAGAGGAAAAACTCCTGGGAAGCTCTGGGAAAGTTAATGAGCTGCTTCCAAAGCAGAGGCAGGCTGTAGTCGCAGGTGGCTGACAAAGCTGTGCAGGTTAAAAAAATAATATTTATCACCCAGCTGCCAGGACAATCTTTATCAAAAGTCTTCTCTCAAATCCATAGCCTGGGAAGAAAAATGAGTCCCCCAACGAATCTTGAAAGCAACACCAAATACAGAAGATATATGTTTTTCAGTGCTGCTATTGCTACTACCACTACTACTACCAAGACTACTGATAAATCACAGACAAGGTTGCCAGCTTTTTCATTGGAACTGCTCCAACTGTCTCAATTTGGCAGGGCCAGTCTCAATTAATCCTCTATCATCCCATTGTTCTAGCTCCTTTTAAAATATCCCAGCTTCTCTCTCCTCTTCCCCCTTTTACTTTGGCTTACTTCAATTGCTGCAAACTGAGTTCAAAGTGCAAAAGGAGTTTGCTCTCAGTTAACTCAGCAGTAGAGAGAGGAGAAGAGAGGGGAGGTGAAGGTGATTCTTATGCTTCTCAGTTTGTTGTTGTTGTTGTTAACTGTCTTCTCATTGGTCTCGACCCATGGAGACCCTATGGATGAGACATCTCCAGAGCCCCCCCCTTTTTTTCTCTCTCTCTACTGCTCTGCCCAGCTCCTGCAAACTCATCTTCATGGTCTCTTTAATAAAGTCAATCCATCTAGCATGTGGCCTTCTTCTTTTTCTACTTCCCTCCACCTTT